TGTTTTTATGGACATAGAAGGAGCTTTTAGTCAGGCCTCTCCGGAATCCATAAAAAGAGCTATGACAGCTTTTAATATTCCTACAGGAGTGGTTGATTGGACCTGTCATTTGTTAAAAAACAGGAACCTCTTATCAACTAAAGGAGACTCAGTCCTGAAAGGGACAGTCAACCCTGGATGCCCCCAAGGAGGTGTTCTTTCACCCTTGCTCTGGTCCTTGGTGGTGGATGAACTACTGAGAATTCTGACCGAAGCAGGATACCATGTAATTGGTTATGCGGATGACATTTTGTTAATCGTTCGCGGTCCCCACCTTGAAGTTATACTCGAAGTGGCCCAAAAGGCGTTAAACCAGGTAGATAAATGGTGTGAGAAGGTGGGTTTATCTGTAAATCCGGGGAAAACGGAAGCGGTTATCTTTACCAGACGGTACAAGTGGAAAGCCTCGTGCTCACTTACGCTGTCCGGAAAAGAGATCAAATACACAGAGCAGGCAAAATATCTAGGAGTAATCCTGGATAGCAAACTGCTTTGGAAATACACTATTGTGGATCTATGAAGCAATTCTGCTCCCTAGGCTGACCTATGCTTGTGTGGTCTGGTAGAGTAGAGTTGAGCTAAAAACAGCACAAACAGAATTGGAAAGGATAAGGGGGATGGTACTTAGAGGCATGACGGGGGCGGTGCGTACAACTCCTACTGCTGCCCTTGGTGCCCTCTTGGGGCTAGAACCCTTACACCTTACAATTAAAGCAGTGGCGGTTAAAGCTGCCCTGCGGTTGAGTGGTCCTGTGGGCCGCAGGGAGGTGGGCAGATGGCGTCTCCCAAAGAAATTGGTGAGAATCCCCCTTCTAAGTATGATTAGGGACAGAACTGTCCCTTTGTACCTCTTCGACAAAAAGTATAGGATTAATATACTGTGACGATGTGAATTGTCGTTCTTTATTTTGTTGAAATTCTGAATCGTCACGTCATCTGTCGGAATTATCCCTGAACAGTGATCGTTAATTGGTATGGTAATTTAGAAAGTCGGAACTGCCGTGTGACCCACTATCAGTGGTGAATGTGTGTCGCGCGGCTAGTTAGTAGGAGAGAAAGTGGTAGAGGGCAGAGCCGATTATTATTAGAAAGAGATAGAGAGAGAAGAGCCAGTGGAACGAGAGAGAAGAAGAGACGAAGAAGCCGAGCACGTGTTGGGAAAAGCCAGGAACAGGTGTCAGTAGTTTTTGGCCGACATCTTGTTAAATTAGTGACCTACGAGATTTGTAGGAGAGTTGATCTACGAGATGCATAGAGTTGTGTAGAGTTGAGAATAGTTGTGTTAAATTTTGAGTGTGTGAGAGAACTGGAGTTGTGTAAAGGGTTGTAATAAAGTAGAAATTGTGAAAAGTGACTTATTGTGTGTTGGATTATTTCTCTTCCCTCAATTAAGGAATCCTTTGGAAGGAGCGTGCCGGAATTAGGAAAGAGAGAAATCGAGAAGCGTCGTTGGGGCGAGTCAGTATCGTGTCAGTGTAGTACCAGTCGTGTCTCGTCGTTGGCATTTCTGCTTGCCAATTTGTTCAGGCAGAATTTCCTCTGACGATTGAGAGCGTCTCAGAGGTGTTGTTGTTTGTCGGGTTGTTGTTGAAGAGTCGAGTAGTTTATTAATTGAGCTTAAAAATTAATTGGCGCCTGACGGCGAAATTTATTAACTTAAATTTCATATTATTATTATTGTTGAAAGCGTCAGATTTTGCTTGACGTTAACCAGAAATTTATACTAAAATAAAATTAGTTAAAATCATACGTCACAAAATTTGGCGCCCAACGTGGGGCCAGGCCAGAACCGAGACACGACTAAAATTATTTATTGTGCCAGATTGAAAGTGATTATGTGGAGCCGGCTTGTATAGTGAACCGAAATAAAAATTCAGAAGCGTCTGAATAAAAATTCTTTGCCAGAGTGTTATTGATTTGTTTATCAATTTATTTTGCCAATGTCCGAATTTATTTTATTCATAAATTATGAATGAATTACTGCCAAAATTTGCGTAAAACAAAATTGTAAAGTGCCTTTGCCATTGAATTTGAAAATTTCTTTTTTTTGAGACTGTAAAAACTCCTGCCGTGATAAAAAATTTAAATCAACAAATTAAAATTTTTTTTTGTTCTGCCGAAAGCCAGTTTCGTGAGAAAATTCCGAGAAAAATTCCAAACAAACTTGTGTTAAATCAAAAATTTTCTCAAAATTCTATGCCAAGCACATGTTAGACCGGAAATAAAATTCGACTTAGTCACGTGACTGTAAATAGTGCGCCGGACGGTCGAGAGAAACGACGCGCCGGGATATTTGAATTTCAGCAATCCAGAGAAAGTTTGCGCGCGCCAGGAAAAGTGGCTCAGTAGTAGTAGCAATTGCGGCTACACAGAGAGAGAGAGAGAGAGAGAGAGAGAGAGAGAGAGAGAACGAGAAGAAGAGATAGTGGGAGAGTCGAGTCACCAGTCTGCCAGAAAAGAAAAATTTTAAAAGGGGGCCCTCCTTCAGTAGGTAGTTCCTTGCTTTCAAGACAGCACAGGGCCGTGTATACTAATCGTGCACCCCCCTTGAAATTAAAAATTATTCGAACTTAGAATTTTTTTTATTACTTCGAAATGGCAAAGGCAAGTAGCGAGATGCAGGACTACAAGAGACGCATGAGCGAACTAATTGAAGTACCATGCGTTAGCCGAGCATGGGAAACAATTAAAGTCATGCAAATTGGTCAAGTAGTGACGAAATTACTGAGACACCAATTGTGTATCAGCAGGTCGTCACAAGTTTTGAGAGAGAAGTTAAGAGCCGAGATGAGATTAACCCAAATAGACTGTAGCGACATGCCATTTAGTGACAGGTACGACCTCGGAAATTCTGATAAAATCTTTGTAGTGGAAGCCTTCCCAGAGCCAGAAATTGATAAATTTCCATTTGTCAATTATCGTAGAGGTGGTCAGATGTCATCGGCAGATGACGAGGAATCGGACAGTGGGGCGAGCCAGATTTTTGAGCGTATTTGTGACAGGAAAACTCTCGGGAGTGGGGAAAGTAAAACGGAAATTGGAACACCGTACAGTAGACCTAGTCCGACCAACGTTATGTCCACACCAAATTACACACCCCTACCACCAGTCATGTCAATTGCCAGTATGACGACAGTTTCTCCCACCACTACCAGTGCTCAATTTAGTATGACAACGAGCACTGTCATGACATCGCCTCACACTATCACGTCAGCCACAATGGCAACGAGCCAATGTAGGGCCGAGATTGGTGACGGGTATCAATTGACGCACCATCAACAATCGCGCATCGTGTCCCCACATGAAAAAACTCCTGTAGCCGAGACCTCACAATCATATCACACAAATGATAGAGTGAGGCCCACACCCGCCCCTAGAAGCCAGTCAAGCCGAAGTAGTGGGAATGAAGACAGTGTAACTCAACAAAGAGTGCCACGAAATGGAGAGCCGGTAGGAGAGCCAGTGAGAAAAGAGACTGAACGAAGTGTGTGTAGTAGAGGGGGAAGAAAAAGAAGTCATGTTAGGAAATTGGGTAAAATTAGAGAAGAAGGGCAGAGAAAAGGGAAGAGAGAAACCAGACTAAATAGAGGAAAAGAGGACGAGAGCAATGAAGGAAGTATTGACAGCGAGAGACTTAGCGTTAGTGATAGAGTGAGTAGAAAGTGCCGAAGAGGGAACAAGAGGGTCGACAGACCGAAAAGAGGTCAGTGGGAGAACCGGAGATCAATCTTAGATGACTCTACGAGTGAGTCAGAATCTGAGAGTGATCTGAGTCAATGCCAGAGTAGTGGGGGGAAAAACAAAGAAATTAAGTCCAGTCGGAGGTCCAAAGTGATCAGAACACTGAAGGACTGGGACTTAAAATTCTTTGGTGATGACGACAGTGCCGAAGAGTTCTTGGAGCGCTTAGAAGACTGTAAGGCTTGGTCAGATTTTTCTGATCAAGAAATATTGCAAGCGCTGCCAATCATTTTTCAGAAAACTGACAGCAGTTGGTTTAGGTCGTTGCGCCGTGAAATTAATTCTTGGAAATCATTCCGGAGGGCCTTTAAAAACGAGTATTTGGTGACGGTCGACGATGATGACGTCATAGATGAACTAAGAGCCAGAACCCAGGGTAAAGGAGAGAAAATCTCACCATATCTGACCAGCTTTAGATTAATCTTAGGTCATATGAAGCGACCTCTCAGCCAGAAGAAACAAGTCAAGATCGCCTACAAAGGTTTGACGCCAGCATACAGACGTCAATTAGACCGGTTGTATTTCGAATCGTTGAGCCAAATGGAAAAGATCCTGAGAAATTATGAGAAGGCCAGGGACTTAGACGAAAGATACACCCCCCCTCCACCAAAGGAGAAGATGCGTTTTCCTGCAGCAGCCGTGAAGGAAAGCCGATTCAAGAAAATAGTGAGATCAGAAGCAGCGACGTCAGAGGAGGAGTCAGAGTCGAGTGGTAGTGACCACTCTACCAAGGAGATTAAAGAGACGAACGAGGCCAGGATAAAAGAGAAGCCAGAAAGTGTATGTGTAGATGCCATGACACTTATGACAACAGCCCAGAATTCAGCAGTGCAGAGTCAAGTAGCCAGTTCACCCCCACCACAAATCTTGCCAGGACCTATGCAAATTGCATTCCCAGCCATGTATGCAGGAAATGTGTCAGGAAGAGCCAAACCAATTGGTTTGCCAAATGTAGAACAAAATGGTTCACAAACGGCAACAAAGCAATTTATGGGAGTTTGTTTTCAGTGTCAATCTATGGGACATCGGGCCAGAGATTGTCCCAGGAGGATCTGTTTTCAATGTCAGCAACAGGGACATTACGCCAAACAATGCCCCCTGAGGCAAACTCAAGTAGAGTCATGCCTAGTGTGCAAAACACCCGGAATAAACTTCTTGAGCTGCCAGAATTGTGTGGCAATACGGACAGTCTTGGAGAGCGGTGCCTGGAGGGCATAGAGATGCCTTGTACACTTGGGCCACGACAGCGGGAGAAGAAGAGCCGAGAAGGAGAACTGTGTTTGAGCTGTGCCAGAACCGACCGAGTAAAGAGAGCTTACTCTGTCAAAGTGTAGTTGAAGGCAATGCTAGCGAGTGTGGGACTAAAGGTACGGATGTGATCCTAGTACCTATAGTCCAGGGGAGGCACAGTGGGTGATTTTGCTCATTTTTGTGTCAAAATCGTAAAACTCTGAGCAGAAACAACATAAAAGGATAAATCTTTTTCGAGAGTATAGATTAGTGCCTACGGATTACGGGAAAAATAAACAGAAGCGTTAAAAAAAATTTTATAACCTTAAAATTTTACGTGGAAGTCAGAAGTTTCAGTAAACAATCAATATTATCCAATACTGCGCAAGTTTGCAAGTCGTTTTTCATCCAAAAAGTATTTTTCCTAGTAGATTTTGAGTCAACTTATTCGTACCTATGGTTCAAAATAATTAAAAATTATTTGGTCTTGAATAAATAAGGTTATAAATGTCATACTTTTTCTCACCTCGGCCTCGTTTAAAACAAATTAAACATAATTTTTTTGATAACTGAAGGTATTTTAGGGGTTTTTAGGGTAATCAGCGGATTACGAATCTGAAGTCAGATTTTTAAAACTCAAAATGGCGGATTCAATATGGAGGATGACATATATAAAATTTGATCGAATTGGCCTGAAATTTATTACCTGGGGGTTTTTTCGGTCGCTGATTACGAATCTGATGTTAGTTTTTTATAATTCAAAATGGCGGATCCAATATGGCGGAAAATATATATATATATATAAAAATTGATCAAATTGGCTTAGAAGTCATTATTCGGGGGTTTTTATGGTCGCTAATTACGAATCTGAGGTCAGATTTTCAAAATTCAAAATGACGGATTTAATATGGCAGATGTCATATATATAAATTGATCGAATTGTTTTGAAATTTGTTACCTGGGGGTTTTTTCGGTCGCTGATTACGAATTTGATGTCAGTTCTATGCTGTTATTTAAGAAAAAGAGAATTTATCAACGAAAAGTATATTCAAAAAAACAAATAGTAGACACTTTCTGATATGCTTTGACATTTGTAATACGGATGAGAAAATATGTCTATTTAAAAAATTATAGTTTAAACATTTGTATTTGAAAGTGTATGTGTTTATTCTTAAGAAAATATATAGCAGCTGTTAAGTAAGTAATTAATACTATCTTTTATTTATTTGTATACATTTTTGAAATATATCAATTTTGAATCCGCAAATTGGAATTTCAAAAAACTGACATCAGATTCGTAATTAGCGACCGAAAAAACCCCCAGGTAACAAATTTCAAGACAATTCGATCAATTTTTATATATATATATTATCCGCCATATTGGATCCGCCATTTTGAATTATAAAAAACTAACATCAGATTCGTAATCAGCGACCGAAAAAACCCCCAGGTAATAAATTTCAGGCCAATTCGATCAAATTTTATATATGTCATCCTCCATATTGAATCCGCCATTTTGAGTTTTAAAAATCTGACTTCAGATTCGTAATCAGCGACCCCAAAAACCCCTAAAATACCTTCAGTATTAAAAAAAATTATTTTTAATTTGTTTTAAACGAGGTGAGAAAAAGTATGACATTTATAACCTCATTTATTCAAAACCAAATAATTTTTAATTATTTTGAACCATAGGTACGAATAAGTTGACTCAAAATCTACTAAGAAAAATACTTTTTGGATGAAAAACGACTTGCAAACTTGCGCAGTATTGGATAATATTGATTGTTTACTGAAACTTCTGACTCCCACGTAAAATTTTAAGATTATAAAAAATTTTTTAACGCTTCTGTTTATTTTTTCCGTAATCTGTAGGTACTAATCTATACTCTCGAAAAAGATTTATCCTTTTATGTTGTTTCTGCTCAGACTTTTACGATTTTGACACAAAAATGAGCAAAATCACCCACTGTGGGAGGGGAGAGGCTGTGAGAGTCACAGCTGACCCAACCCTAAGAAAAAAAATTTTTTTTTTTTGAGATCAGAGATGTTAGAAAGCATTGTAGACAGAAAATTTAAGAGAAGAGCCGTGAGCCGAGGGCCGTAGAGAGGAGAGCCGAAAGCCGTGAGCCGTGTGAGGTAGAGAGGAGAGCCGAGTTTCGTGAGCCGTGTACCGTAAATAGAGAGAGGAGAGCCGTGAGTATAGTGAGGTAAAATTGGATAAAAAAAGTCCCATAAGAGAGGAGAGAGACTTATACCAGAAAAGGGAGCCAGCCATTGACATCGGACAGTAGTTAGTCATTGGTAATTACGGTCCTACTGGGAGTAGTACCGGTCATGGGGAGGGGATTGTGACGATGTGAATTGTCGTTCTTTATTTTGTTGAAATTCTGAATCTTCACGTCATCTGTCGGAATTATCCCTGAACAGTGATCGTTAATTGGTATGGTAATTTAGAAAGTCGGAACTGCCGTGTGACCCACTATCAGTGGTGAATGTGTGTCGCGCGGCTAGTTAGTAGGAGAGAAAGTGGTAGAGGGCAGAGCCGATTATTATTAGAAAGAGATAGAGAGAGAAGAGCCAGTGGAACGAGAGAGAAGAAGAGACGAAGAAGCCGAGCACGTGTTGGGAAAAGCCAGGAACAGGTGTCAGTAGTTTTTGGCCGACATCTTGTTAAATTAGTGACCTACGAGATTTGTAGGAGAGTTGATCTACGAGATGCATAGAGTTGTGTAGAGTTGAGAATAGTTGTGTTAAATTTTGAGTGTGTGAGAGAACTGGAGTTGTGTAAAGGGTTGTAATAAAGTAGAAATTGTGAAAAGTGACTTATTGTGTGTTGGATTATTTCTCTTCCCTCAATTAAGGAATCCTTTGGAAGGAGCGTGCCGGAATTAGGAAAGAGAGAAATCGAGAAGCGTCGTTGGGGCGAGTCAGTATCGTGCCAGTGTAGTACCAGTCGTGTCTCGTCGTTGGCATTTCTGCTTGCCAATTTGTTCAGGCAGAATTTCCTCTGACGATTGAGAGCGTCTCAGAGGTGTTGTTGTTTGTCGGGTTGTTGTTGAAGAGTCGAGTAGTTTATTAATTGAGCTTAAAAATTAATTGGCGCCTGACGGCGAAATTTATTAACTTAAATTTCATATTATTATTATTGTTGAAAGCGTCAGATTTTGCTTGACGTTAATCAGAAATTTATACTAAAATAAAATTAGTTAAAATCATACGTCACAATACCTAGTAGAGAAGATTGGATAAATGGACTGACAAGTATTCTAGCTGACTGTGAAGTCTGGTACACAGATGGATCAAAAGGCGGGAATGGAGTTGGTGCAGGAATCTATCATGTAACCTCCCAAGTGGGACACTCCTTTAAGTTGGGGACCACTGTTACTGTGTTACAAGCCGAAATTGTGGCAATATTTTATGGTGCTGTTGAAGCCTTGAAAAATTGTCACAACAAAGATATTTTTATCCTTTCGGATAGCAAGGCGGTAATTTTCTCCTTGAAACGATACGTATTAACATCACGGCTGGTCGGTGATTGTCATGAAGCACTTAACAAACTAGCTGAAACGAACCGCGTTACCCTCCTGTGCATCCTTGGTCACAGTGGATTCGCGGGAAACGATAGGGCGGATGAGCTAGCCACAGAAGGGTCTAGAAAACAACTTATTGGACCTGAACCTCCCATTGGTGTTTCCAACAAATGCCTGACACGGGAAATTAAACAGTGGATAGCTGCGGAACACCAAAGGGAATGGCAGGTAACTAAGGGCTGTAGACAAGCCAAGGTACTCATGGGAAGTAGTATTAACCCTATGAGGAAAGCGGAATTCCGCAAATTAAATAGAAAAGAGGCAAAGATCATAACAGGGCTATTAACTGGCCATGGTGATCTGCGCTATCATAGGCACAAAATGGGGATCCTAGACGACCCGAAGTGCCGTAGGTGTGGAGAGGAATATGAAACCCCGATACACATCTTGTGTCACTGCCCTGCACTTGTGAAGGAGCGGGAACACATTACGGGCTACTTCTTTCTGGGGGAGACCGTTATTGCTACCAGAAACCTGGCCGAAGTCCTCCTGTTATGGAAAGGACTTCGGATATAGGGGTGGTTATGGGGAACGTAAAGGGATTACCCAAGCGTTAGTGGCGTTGACCTGCAAGGTCCTAAGTCCACAAACCTCTTCTTAATAATAATAGTACCGAGTTTTTAACCCCAATTAAAAAAATTGTGTAATTTTTTACAAATCCGTTTAGGAGTTTAGGCTCTACGTTTAGTTTGTCTAAATTAAAAAAATCCAACTATTTTGAGAAAAATCCAAAATATCCTATGGATATTTTTTTGTTATTTTTTTATGGGCAGGCCCTCAATCATAAATTGCATTTATTAATATTAAAACAATAAATTAATTTGTAATATAAAAATATTTTTTAAATATTTAGAACCTACAAAATTTATATTTCTTTTTTAAATAAATAAATATAAATAATGCTACATACATTGATGAAAAATGTATTATTTATTTAACTTTAATTTTTCTAATTTCTTTTATAATGATCCATTTATTAATTATAAATTGTTTAAATAGAATTTTAAAAAATTTTAATTGTTTAAATGAAATATTAATTAAAATCATTTCATTCAACAGAAAAATGATTTAAAAAATTTTCACTTTATTTTAAGTGAATTCCTTAAAAAATCTAAATAATAACAAGTTTAATTAATTAATTAAGTTTAATTAATTATAGAGAAATATTTATGTAAACAAAAATGTTCGATTTAAATAAAAAACAAATTCATGATTTATATAAGAGCATTGAATGTACCGTGTATTATTTTAGCAAAAATTATAAAAGTGCGTTTCCCAAAATTTAGTTTTGCCTCATTTTGCAATTTATAATGTAAAATATTATTCTGATAGAAAAAAATGTTTTACAGACGCTTTAATAAATCTAGTGCTTTATTTTTAAATTATTTATTATGATATATTCTTAACGGTAAATACACCTAAATATTAATAATATTTGATTATTCTAAATATCCGTTATTATTTTTGCTCTAAAAAAGTGTTTTACGATATATTTGAAAAACTGGAGTATTCGGAAGTAGAAATACTTTTAACGTCTCGAGTACTGTGTGGTCCCTTTGGTCCATTTTCTTTATCAATTAGTCAGTCTTGAATTTTCTTTCACCCGAATAACCGCTCAAGTGACTGCGCTTCACCATCAATTCGTGTTAAATTTTTTATTATATTTAGTTATTATTATTATTATTATTATTATTATTATTATTATTTTTTTGCTTAGGGACTTTTGGGAAATCTGCCAACAGATACCTTGGATTCCGCACTCCAAGGTTATGCGGGGGTTGTTTTTATGCGGGGTTGGTATGATAAAAACAAGAGAAAAAATAAAAAAAAAGAAAAATAAATATATAAAATAGTAAATTTAATAAACTGGCGACCTACTGCCAGCCCGACCCACTAAAACCCGTAACCCTTCTTCTGGAGCCCTTTACCCTCCCTCGGAACTGTCGTAAGACTTTAGCCTTCGTGGGTGGCGCTCCAACTCTGTCGCTAATGCGACTTTCTGCTTTTCTCTGCGGTTATCCTGCGTTAATAGTTAAATTGAAAACTATTTCAATATAAAAGCGGAATTAACAGCACAAAAATAATAAAAAAAAACAAATGTTTAATTAAGTGTAAACAGTCAAAAGATAAAATTGCAAACGGATATATAAAAAAAGAAAAAATAAACGCGTATATAATATTGAAAACATAAATCAAATTAAAAAATGTATAAGGACAAATAAATCACATAATAAATTAATAAAAAACAAACAAAACAAATTAAAAGCTGTTTAAATTACGCTTTTTGGCGGCCGTCGAGATCCTTCCTCGACATAACCGAGATTATGAAGTTCTTGACTTGCCGCCAATTCTCTTCTGACTGGGTCATCAGCGATACCATGTTCTCCGTCGAACATGGCCCGCCTCTCCAAGTCCCATTTTCTGCATGAGAAGAGGGTGTGCTACGCGTTGTCCTCAGGGAACTGGCAATATGCACACACCTCGTCCTCGCGTAATTTAAAGCGACACAGGTACGAGTTAAAACACCAGTGACCTGTGAGCGCCTGAGTCAAATAATAGGAAACCTGACCGTGTTTCCTATTTATCCAGGTGGCGAGTGCCGGGATAAGGCGATAAGTCCATCGACCTTTTTCCTCACCATCCCATCTTTCTTGCCATCTTTCTATGAGCCTGTGCCTCGCTTCTTTGCGGATCAGGCCCTTGCTTGGTCTTACTTCCTCATCTAAGGAACTTCTTTCTTTAGAAAAGAGAAACATTTCTTCCCTTTCCCTCGCCAAAAGATCTGCTGGCGGGACACTTGCAAGGACCTGCACAGCACTCGTAGATACCGTCTTATATGCAGAGATGATACGCGTTGTTATCGATCTCTGCGCAGACAGTATCTTTTCACAGATGGTCACACATCTTTTACTCCTGAGGGATGGGGCCCACGCTGGTGCTGCATAGAGCATTTTAGCGTGGGCGACACTCGCCACCAGTCTTCTTTTTTGTTCACGGGGTCCGCCAACATTTGGCATTAGCCGTGAAAGATTAGCCGCACACTCGATCGCCTTATTTGACGCCGTAGCCATGTGGTGGTGAAAGTTTAACCTTCCATCCAACTCCACACCAAGATATTTAATTTGTTTACTCCACTTGACCTCGAATCCGTCTATCACGATTCGTGGGAGCTCATAACCACGTCTGTCTGTGACTAGCAGTGCCTCGGTCTTTTCCAGGGCCATTTCAGGACCTCTGTTATCCAGCCAGCTTCTTGCTAGTCGCAGACATTCGTTCACCAATGTCCCAAGAGCCTCCTCACTTTCGGCAGTGCACACGAACAACGCGTCGTCCGCAAAGCCGATGATCACCGCACCTTCGGGCAGATCCATTCGCAGAAAATCATCGTAAGATACATTCCATACGAATGGACCCACCCTCGAGCCTTGAGGAGCCCCACGCTGCATCTCTTCCCTGAGAGTGCAGGTGTCTCCCTCATATATAACCCACCTGTCGCTAAGATAATTATCCATTATGCGCAACAAGTAGGGCGGCATGTTTTTCTTTTCTATCGACTCGATGAGATCTTTCCATCTTGCGGAATCAAACGCGTTGCGTATGTCAATTGCTACCAACGCGCAGAAGCTCTTCTTTTTTCCAGGTCCCAATTTGTTTTTTCCTGCTTTGGCTATGTCCACAACTGCCTGGATGGCATCAACTGTGGACTTGCCTTTACGGAAACCAAATTGGTGATCCGATAGACGATTCTCTTCGGTCAAGTGGCTTTGCATTCTCTGCAGAACCATATCCTCTAGAAGTTTACCCATCGTATCTAGCAGGCATATAGGCCTGTATGATGAGACTTTATCTAGAGGTTTTTCGCCTTTCCTCAGGAGGATTAACCTCTGTCGCTTCCAGTCGCGGAAGAACTCTCCTCTCTCAAGGCAAAGATTGAAGCATCGAAGCAGAATCTGGGGTGAAGTGTCGATTACCAACTTTAGGATCTCGTTACTTATCCCATCGATTCCAGGCGCCTTGCCTGTTTTCAATCTTTTGCCTGCTCTTTGCAGTTCACTAAGTGTGAAGAGTTCTTCTTCTTCGACTTTGCAAAAACTCCAGTCCCTTCTAAGGTATGGTTCTGCAGGAGGAAACAAAGAACTTATTATCTTTCTGACCCAATCGGGATTGTCCAGGCCGGGGGTCTTTTGCCTCGTCACTAATTTCTTAGTCACGATTTTAAAAGCCAGACCCCATGGGTCCTTATCGACTTCCTCGATTAGGTCCTTCCAGCTACGGCGTCGCGACCTGCGGATCTCTTTTTTGAGGCCCTTTTTCGCCTCCTTGAATTCCTCTTTCAGCAAGGGATCTCCCTTAGATCGGGTATATGTCCTTCTTGCTTTGAGGCATTCCTTTCTCAAGGAGGCTAGCTCCTCTGACCACCAGTGCAAGGATTTTCTTACGGGAATGGCGCCTTTGCGTGGCATAGACGCATTGCAAGCGGTGACTATCATGTTCCTCACCGCTCGAACCTCCCCATCCAGACTGCTCGGCCTCTTCACCCAGCCCAAGTCCTCAATTAAAAGGGCTTCTCTTAGGGACCGGCCGAACTTTTCCTTGTCGAGTCTCTTTATATTCCACAAGGAGGTCTTGCGACTAGGAACATCCTGTCTCTTTCCTCCTTGTGTGTCTCCCATCGAGACTGAGAACTCAATGTACTGGTGGTCACTTGCGGTATATTCCTCAGAGACCCGCCAGTCGCTTATGCGGCTAAATAGTTTAGTCGATGCGATCGTTAGATCTATAATTGATCCAATCGCACCTCGTCTAAACGTCCATGTATTGCCTCGGTTTACAGCCAAAGAGTCGTTTCTGGAGATCATTTCTTCAATACAAATGCCTCTCTTGTCGAGTCTCGTCTCACCCCACTCTGGCGACTTTGCGTTAAAATCGCCAGTGATGATGACATCCAGCCTGGATTCTGTGAGGCTCGCTTCTAGGTCTTCGATATTGGCTTCGAAGTTTGTCAGTGGGTCGTTGGGTGAAAAGTAGCAGCTATACATACGTATATTAGCCACCTCTATCCACACGAACCCACTGCTCGTCTCCAGAAACTTGTCAATCCGCAATTCTAGGTTGCACAGCTTTATGGCGGCTCTCTTCGCCGTATCCTGATACCAAGGGGCGAGGTCGCTTCCTTGATACTGCTCACTGCAGAACAGGATATCGACCTCATTTTCCCTTGCTGTTTGCATTAGGAGCATCCTTACTTGTATGCAGGTTGACCTGCAAAAATTTTAAGGATTTGCCCTTTTAATCTTTTGCAGTTCTTCCCTGTAAACCGGGCAGGCTCTCTTTCCGGACTCATGATCCGTTTCTGGCTTCCCAAGGTCCAAGCAAGTAAGGCACTTCGGCTTAACGTTGCAGCTCTTCGCGAGGTGTCCCTCTTCTCCGCATCTCCGACAGTTTTTACTTCTGTCGGGGCCTTTGCAGGCTAGGGTTCTGTGTCCGTAACCTAGGCACTTTTGGCACCTAGCTAC